TTCCGTGATGGTTGCCCTCGGCTGAAAGAAACCCCCTTGGTGGTGAGGGAGTTTCAGCAACATGCCAGAGTCTGCAAGGCTCAATTCCCAATCCCAGTAAATCCTCTGCAGACCGATTCGTTCCAGTAAAGATTTCTTTATTGAGAAGAAACACGCAGCGTTCCACAGATTGCTGGAACTGAAAACCCCGCGCTCGGAGGCTCCCTTTTAACACCCCTCTCTGCTTTCAAGTTTGTCCTTTTCGCGCCTTTCCTCGGATCTCTTCTTGATCTCACCCTGCATGGCCTTGTAAATTCCTGAGAACCCGATAACATCCCATCTGTCTCCGCTGTCTACCTAACTCCCCCCACCCCTTGTTTTATGGCAGGAACGAGCAAGCGGCTTGTATAAACTGACAATCCTAATAAAATAACAATTCTACTTTATGGCCGGAATAAGCAACCATTCTAACTAGGTTAGCAGCTCTAATAACTCTATTAGTTGGCTCCAACTGACAATTGATTGATTGCAAGGATCCTGACAGTGAGCCTGCTAGCACCGGCAGGGTTGACACAGCAGCCGCCAGTCTAACTTATCAGTGTGAGAATTCACTCTAACAAAATCCTTTCAACTCCTGGTGACTTCATGAATGCATCCATACTGCGGAGGGGGTGTCACTATAGTGTAGAAGTGGTTTGTCACTGGTTTCTTCAAAACATTTTTGCAACTTCTCTGTCTATCCTGCAATCTTAGGATTTCCTAGTGGCCTCCTATCCAAGTAGAGCAAATAGATTCTGGGGGCCATCAGCTGGCTTATCCAGTGGGCAAGGATGGCCCTGATGCCAAGACCCCTGGAAAAAATGCCAGGCTTTATATTAGGGAAGTTGTTTTTGGTGGGGTGCTAGATAAAAAAATCATCGTCATCGTCGTCATCATCATGATGATGATGTCAAATAGCTGATTGAATCTGCATATATTGTGCATATCTTTTGGTGCAAATGCCCAGGAGACTCAGTGTGTGAAACCGCCCGTTTGTCTTTCCCAGGGAGGGTCGCTGGGAAAAGGCACAGCAATGAAACAGGGTTCAGATGTCGACCTGGTGGTGTTTCTGGATGTCTTCAGAAGTTACGGAGATCTGGAAGAGAAGCGAAAGTGGATCATTGAGGAGATTGAAAGGCGGCTCACAGAATGCCAGACAGAGCTGAATCTGGACGTCCACTTTGAGAAGTCCAAGTGGCCCAAGCCTCGTGTGCTTCAATTCAGGTTGCGTTCAAAGAACTCAGAGGATTGGATTGAATTTGATGTCCTGCCGGCCTTGGACATCCTAGGTGGGTTTTCTTGAGAGCAGTGAAAGCCACTCCCCAGCTAGAGTTGGCGAGGGAGCACCAGGCGGGTGGAGAATATTTAAGCCTGCTTTTCCTTTAAAGTAAATGGGAGTCGCTCAAGTAAGTGATTCAGAAAGCCCTCAAGACCCATTCTCTACTGTGGTTCTCACAAACAAGCTGGCACTTAAGAGCAAGCAGAAAAATTCTGCATCCTGCAATCTGTTCTTGTTCAATTATAGAGCAAAACCTTTCTTCCTTCAAAGGAAGAGTGAAGGTTGGTGACATTTTTCTGGGTGGAAAGGGCTGTCTTTACACACATTTTGTGACAAGGTGCCCCAGGAGGGGGTGTCATCCTGGCTTCTACAGTTTTCCAGCAGTCCCAGCAGGGGGGTCACTTCCCTGGGCCTCTTCGGGAGCAAAGCTGTTCTCATTGCTAGTCCTGCCTTTCAGAAATGGTTGAAGAGTTCCTTTTTCCACTGGAAAAACTGGGTGAAATTCTCTGCCCCATTTGTCTGTCCACAAAGGTAGTGGAGTATTTCGAGAAGGCTTTTGAGGCCTAACTGTACTTTCTCTTGACAGGCCAATATGATGGCTCCAGGCCTGACCCTCAGAAATACATCAACCTGATCCCTGCCAGCAAGCATGGCTATTATGCTCCCTGCTTCACCGAGCTGCAAAAGCATTTCATCGTTGATTGTCCAACCAAGCTAAAGAACCTCATCCGCCTGGTGAAATACTGGTACAAAGAGGTCTGTGGCTCAGGGTCCCAATACGTGGAACCTGGTTTCCCCACGAGTAACAGTTTCTAGGAGAGTAGCTGAGTCAGTAAAAAAAAATCCCAGCCCTTTGTGGTCCTATAAACAATGTTATTGCATTTTGATAATCGTCACAGCAACCCTTGGCCGAAATTGAAGAGCAAAGAGGGGGATTAGTAATTGGGTGGGAGACCATCCCAGGGCTGCAGGCTAGCAAACTACTTCCATTATTGTTACCATTACTTTTCTTCTAGGATGTTTTTTTCAATTTTCCGTTTAGCCAACAGCTCTGGAATTCCCAGATCACCCAAGGTCACTTGCTGGAAATCCAGTTTAAAATTCAGTGCTGTACGTCTGTTAAACACAGTTGGAACCCAGCACTACAGAACGCAGTCTAAAAAGCCTACCTTTTAACCCCTTACGCTAACAAAATGGGACCACCCTCCATTCCAGCAGCATCTTAATGTCAGAGTCTGCACAGCTCAATTCCCAATCCCAGTAAATCCTCTGGAGACCGGTTTGTTCCAGTAAAGATTTCTTTATCGAGAAGAAGCACACAGCGTTCCATAGATCGCTGAAACTGAATTCCCCATGGCCAGAGGCTTCCCTTTTAACTGCCCTTCCTGCCGGTTTCCCGCTTGATTCCTTTCGCACCCTTTCTCCGATCTCACGGTCATCCGACCTTGCTCTCACCTCAGACCTTGATAACGGGCCATCTGGCTTTTGTGGCTTATCCCGTGCTCCGCTCCCTTGTTTTATGGCAGGAACATTCCTGCAAACTAACATCTAATTTATAGCTATCCTGAATAAACATTTGATATATATCAATTTCTAACAACTCTGCTCTTTGGCCTCTTGACGATTGATTGATTGATTGATTGAGAGGATCCTGACACTTATAGTCCAGCCCACGGGAAAAGCCCACCCTTCTCTGTGGCCGTAACAAGATGGTTTCAGTGGCAGCTCCTGGATGTGTTGGGGGGCTGCACCCAAGATTGTGAAGACATCTAGGAAGCTCTGGGGCTGGAGGTGAGGAAATCCGATTGCTGAGCCCAGGAACCAAGGAGAGCTTGATGATGTCACATACTGTCCTTATAATGTCAGAGATGTTTGAACTGAAAGGAGAAAAACGTAAGAGAATTGAAGAAGTCTGGGCATTTACAAGGAAGACGTTAACCCTAACCTCTGCTTCAATGATTTCTTTCATTTGTTCAGTGTGAGTCCACCAAGTTGAGGAGAATAATGAACTGTAACTTAAACTCTGTTCCTTTACCAAAATAGAAAGGGGATGTGATTATTGTGCTCCTCTTTTAATGGGGGGGGGGGCTTTTATTTAATTAAGCAGAAAAGAGTCGCAACTCAAATTTCAGGGAATCCTTTTTGAACGGAATTTGGTTTTGAGTTCATACAAGCAAGAAATCTCAGATTGGACCTTGCTGGAGTCCCTCCACCTTGCTCCTGGTCATCCTCCTTTCTCTTTCCTTCCATAATCCCCAGTGTTAAAGACTTTTCAAGGGAGCTGGGTCTTTGCTTAATATGATCATTTGACCCTGGTCATCTGTGCCTGGAGTGAGCACTCCGGATTGATTTCTTCTGTTGATTTTTTCTTTTGTTTATCTTCTTGGCTGTCCACGGTATTCTCGGGAGTCTTCTCCAACACCAAGAGTGTCAGTACTCTTCCTTTCCTGCTTCTTCAAAGTCCAGCTTTCACTTCAGTAGAGTGCCATTGAGAAAACCATTGCCTGCACCATTCTTGATCTTCGTAGGTATGGACCCATCATGGCATTTGAATATCTCTTCCACGGCCTTCTTGGCTGCTCTACCGAGTGCTGGTCTGCAGCATAGTTCTTCGTGACTTGTTCTTTCACTGCTGATAGCTGATGCTAAAAAGCAGAAACTCTTCCACCCCTTCAATACCTTCACTGTCAATTCTAAGGCTGGTTGCTGGACCTGTTGTCATTAGTTTGATCTGCTTTATATTTAATCTTAGTCCTGTCTCTTCACTTTGCTTCTTGACTTTCAGTATTAGAACTTCTAGATCAATTGCATCCGTTTTGCTTCTCACTTACTGTTTTATGTTTTGGGAAAAATGATTAGCACCGTTTTAAGACAGATACATCTGTCTTTAAATGATGCTAATTAGTTATAAGATAGCCATAGATGGATTGTCTTTCCTGTTGCTTCACCATTCAAATACTGCAGTGGGTTTTTATCTAAAATGCTTTTCTATATAAACTAGTTGCCTGAGCAGTCACTACCCCCAAAGTATGCGCTTGAGCTACTGACTGTCTACGCCTGGGAGAAAGGAAGTGGAGGAACCAAGTTCAGCATGGCGGAGGGTTTCCGGACAGTCCTATGGCTCATTGAGAGACATAAGCAGATCTGCATATACTGGACAAAATACTATGATTTTGAGGATGAGACCATCAAGCGGCACTTACAGACCCAGCTCCGTAAAAACAGGTCAGTCTCCCACCTTGGATTCCAAATAAAAAATCAGTGATGAGATCTGTCACGTGGAGAAACTCCTGCAACAGCTCTTAGCTAGTTTCAAATTGGAGTAAAAGGCAAAAAACTCATTGAGCTGTTGCTTCCTTTGGCTGGCTTATGCATCAATGTTTCTTCCTTTGTGGGGTGGGGAGAGCAAAGCAGTTGTGATACAAAACCTGCAGAGCAATGGGAAGAGAGATTGGGGTTTCCCCCCCCTAGCTTCCCCTCTCTCCCTGCAAAGATGTCTTCAAGGATAATCATGAAGTTCTAGTCACAGTTTGACTTTCATCTGATACCGTTTCTGGACCTGGTGGCCATTAGAAGACAGCAAAGAGACACAGCAAGCTAAGCCACAAAATAACAAAATAAATTTCCCATGTTATATGGAGGCTGTCATTAAGGATTTGACTGGCCTGGTAGGATGTGTTGGGTGAACACCTAGCCTTAGTGATGTTCCATTTAGGAGCTCGGTTGTAAAGGCTCCCTGGAGAGGCTCAACATAGGAACAGATCACAGACCCAGGTGTGTAATTTGGGGGGTGGGGACAACAGATAACATGGTGCAACATGGTGCATGATGGCAAACGCTATGACATGTCTGTTTGTCACAGTTGTGGGATATAATGGCAGCGCTCGCAACACGTGATGGAAGTGGGAGCAGAGTCGTCATAATGGAGATTCCTCAGTCCAAGGGAGGGGGAAAGCATGAGAAAGAAACCCAGAGTAACTCTGCCTTGAGTATGCTAGGTGTAAGCTGGAGAGTTGGTTCAACAGCCTTTCAAGATTCTGTTCTATTGCCTTTAGCAGTCAAGAGCATTTCAGAAATTCAAGTGGTTCCTGTTTCCCGGCCTTGAAGGGCCAATGTTGCCTGACAATGTCATGGCAAACAGGTCATCATTTTGGCTCAGATTGTGGATTTTAGCAAGGACTTCTTTTTAATTCCCTCCAGAATCCAAGAACTGGGATATTTCTTGAGTGGGCACTGCTATGACTGCCCACTCAAATCAGCACAAAAATTAAATCTGATTTCATTCGATTGACATTTAATCTGCCTATTCTCTAATGAAGTATTTAATATGGTTTTCCACTTCTTTCATGTTAAAATCTAAATATGTTAACAAACTTGGGAAATTTCCAAGGGCCTCCAGTCACGAGCAGGTGTCACCCATCTGTTCTGGTTGTGCACCATGGGTATAACTTTGTTTATTGGACTTTAGGCCAGTCATCCTTGATCCAGCGGATCCGACTGCAAACATTGGAGAGGGAAAACGCTGGGATCTGCTTGCACAACACGCGATCTACTATGCTTCTCTGCGATGCTGTCGGAACCTAGATGGTTCTTTTGTTGAACCCTGGATTATGCCGGTGAGGGGAAAAAATGTGAAGTTGCTTATTTGCTGGGTTTCTCTGGGATAAACCTAGAGCAGGGTAGGGTCTACACAGAGGTAGGTACTTCCTTCCTGACTTACTGTACTGGTTTTTCCCCAGGTAGAAGGGAAGAAACATTTCATAAATTGGCATCTTGCTTGAATGCCATCCAGTTCCACATCAGAGATTCAGTCGTGTTGCAGTCATGGGATAAGGAGTAGAGTGAAACCAAAAAGCTGATGTCAAGGACATCTGGAGGGGGAGGCAAAAAAGTCAAGATGGTGGTTGTGACCATGTG